TTAAGGAGGATGGGTATTAGGTCTTCACTAAATGTTTGATACAATTCAGTGGTGAAGCCATCTGGTCCAGGGGTTGTTTTCTTAGGTAGGTTTTTGATTACCAGTTCAATTTCGTTGCTGGTAATTGGTCTGTTCAGATTTTGTGTTTCTTCCTTGGTCAGTCTTGGAAGGTTGTATTTTTCTAGAAAGCTGTCCATGTCTTCTAGGTTATCCAGTTTGTTGGCATATAGTTTTTCATAGTATTCTCTAATAATTCTTTGTATTTCTGTGGTGTCTGTAGTGATTTTTCCTTTCTCATTTCTGATTCCTTTTATGTGTGTAGACTCTCTTTTTTTCTTGGTAAGTCTGGCTAGGGGTTTATCTATTTTGTTTATTTTCTCAAAGAACCAGCTCTTGGTTTCATTGATTCTTTCTATTGTTTTATTCTTCTCAATTTTATTTATTTCTGCTCTAATCTTTATTATGTCTCTCCTTCTACTGACTTTGGGACTCATTTGTTGTTCTTTTTCTAGTTTCTTTAATTGTGAGTTTAGAGTGTTCATATGGGATTGTTCTTCTTTCCTGAGGTAGGCCTGTGTTGCAATATACTTTCCTCTTAGCACGGCTTTTGTTTTGTCCCATGTGGAATTATTGTTGTCATTTATCTCCATATATTGCTTGATCTCTGTTTTTATTTGGTCATTGACCCATTGGTTATTTAGGAGCATGTTGTGAAGCCTCCATGTGTTTGTGGGATTTTTCATGTTCTTTGCATAATTTATTTCTAGTTTCATACCTTTGTGGTCTGAGAAACTGGTTGGTACAATTTTAATCTTTTTGAATTTGCTGAAGCTCTTTTTGTGGCCTAGTATATGATCTATTCTTGAAAGTGTTCCATGTGCACTTGAGAAGAATGTGTATTCTGCTGCTTTTGGGTATAGAGTTCTGTAGATGTCTGTTAGGTCCATCTGTTCTAATGTGTTGTTCAGTGCCTCTGTGTCCTTACTTATTTTCTGTCTGATTAATCTGTCCTTCGGAGTGACTGGAGAGTTGAAGTCTCCTAGAATGAATGCATTGCATTCTGTGTTGGGCACATAAATATTTATAATGGTTACATCTTCTTGTTGGATTGACCCTTTTATCATTATGTAATGTCCTTCTTTGTCTCTTGTGACTTTCTTTGTTTTGAAGTCTATTTTGTCTGATACGAGTACAGCACCTCCTGCTTTTTTCTCCCTATTAGTTGCATGAAATATCTTTTTCCATCCCTTGACTTTTAGTCTGTGTATGTCTTTGGGTTTAAAGTGAGTCTCTTGTAGGCAGCATATAGATGGGTCTTGTTTTTTTATCCATTAATTGACTCTATATGTTTTGATCGGTGCATTCAGTCCATTTACATTTAGGGTGATTATCTATAGGTATGTATTTATTGCCATTGCAGGCTTTAGATTCATGGTACTAAAGCTTCAAGGTTAACTTCCTTACTATCTAAGAGTCTAACTTAAATCACTTAATATGCTATTACAAACACAATCTAAAGGTTCTTTTTTTCTCCTCCTTTTTCTTCCTCCTCCACAAAATATTTCTTGAACCTGGTCTTCTATTGTTCAACAACTTTGTTCCAGTTCAGTGCCTGTTCTTAATCTCTCCCTGCCTGTCTGGTCTTCCTACCTGTTGTCCACTTCTTAAGAGCCATCTGCTACACTGTTTCCAGAGTGATCTTGCTATAATTTATCTCCAACCATGCCAGTTCCCTGTACCCTAGAATAGAGTCCAAACTCAGCTGTAAAAGGCTCTTTGAGAGTGACCTTCATCTACTTGTGTAATCCTATGGGTAATTCCTTTTTACTTGCTATATCAATCAAAGTTCAGACAGGAGACAGAAACTATACTCATTATTCAATGGAGATAATCTAATATAAAAATTGTTAACTATGTATATAATCTGGTTAGCAAGCTAACTGAAAGGGTAAAGAGAACTTTTATGGATCAGAAGAAGTCACAATTGGAGGAAGCAGCTCAGCACTCAGGCTAAGGGGACAAGAGGAAAGGGTTGGTATAACAAACTTTGAAACATGCAAGAGGCGCCCCATGTTCTGGAAACCCAAACTGCAAGGAGGGAGCTCTGCTTAGCTGGTACTAGTGTCTCTAAGCCCAGAGGGTGACCCTGGGGACATTCTCAGTGGTTCTTGAGTCTGGGACAGTTTTGTGTGATGAGACCAGTTTTGCATGTGTGAGAAAGAGTGAAGTATGGCTGTTGCTCTGGGAGGGAAATGCAGCTGCCAAGGTGAAGTGCTGCTGAGTTGATTTCATAGCAAACTCTTTACTCCTGCAGCTTTGCAGCATCCCTCTGGCATTCCCTACTTCAGTTGAACACTGAAACAGCTGGCAGAGCAGATACGGGATTTTTTTGCAGTTTTGCAGTGTACCAAGAAGCAGCGTATAGAAATTGGGTTCGAAGCTGCGGAAAAATACCTTAATGATGATACACTTGCCTTATTACTGTCTCTTCTCCTGGTTTGCTCCTACATATTCCAGAACATTTGCATATGCTGTTTCCTCTTCTTGAAGAGAAGTTCCTTCTCTTTGCGTAGTTAACACTACTTTTCAAATTTCAGCTCAGTTTTCCCTTCCTCAAGGAAGCCTTCTTTGATTTCCCCAGTGAGGTCAAATTCCTCTGTTAACAGGCCCTGGTTAGCTCCTTTGTAGCATTGTCACAGTTACAAGTTTACCTTCTGTATAATTTTTGGATTAATGCCCTCTAAGCTGCAAGGGCACTAATCACAAGGACAGGGAGCATCCCCACCTCTCCCTTGATTTGTTTTTCTTAAACTTATGTCCCTAACCTCTAAAATAGTACCTGGCACAGAGTAAGGGCTCAATAAATACTTGTTGAAGGGAGTGAGAAGTGTAGTGTAAATAGTCACGAGGAAGTCAATACCATGTCTGGATAGGGATTTTTCTGAACCATCTGCTTCCAGGAGCATCTCTGTTCTGGGTGTACCCAACTAACCTTCCTCCTGCCTCTGACCTTCAGGATCTCAGTTTCCATTCCCTGATATAATTGCTACTTGTCATTCTAAGATGCTCTATGTGTACATGCAAAATATTTTACATATTTTCTCAGTTAGAAAAACTTTTGAACATTCTTTTGAACAACTGTTTCACTCTGGGAAAGTACCATAATTTAGTCAAACAGTCCATTCTTCAAAGACATTTAGGTTGTTTCCCATCTTGCTTCTACAAATGCTGCTGCAATGAATAACCTCATGTGTAACATTTATGTGCATGTGTGCAGTTATACTATGAATATTTCCTGAAACACCCATCTTTTACTTTGGTTCAAGGTAAAGAGAATATGCAGAGATTGCAGCAAGTATCTGGCTTGGATGCTCAGATAGTACCCCACAGGGTGGGAATTTCCATGTCAGACCTCCACTTTCAGAATCTAGTCCTCATCTAGTGCTAGAGTGCAAGTAGAGTTTGAGGGCTACTTGGAAACTGAATTGTTCCAACCAGCCCGAAGACACTGGTGCATTAACTACAATGTCTTAGACTTCTTTGCTGCATCCCTCTGTATTTCTCCCTTCATAACACGATAGATTTATAATAGCTTATTTGCTGTCATCTATGCTAGACCATAAACTGGTGGATAGCAGTGAATGAGGCCGATGAGGGCATGTTCTTATGAACCATTTTTATTTTTTAATCTTTATTGGTTTTTGTGTGTAAGGAATAAATGAAATAATGGAAGTGATTAGCAAAGTGATTAGTTGGCAACTGAAAATGTTTATATGTATACACACATATAATTCATGGATATGTACATAAACGTTAAGTCGGGAGAGTCGTAATTATTCTTGCCATATTACTTTTCTTCGTCCCCACCCCCAGGCCTCCAAACTTTCTCTTTAAGAGCTGACAAGTGTTCCAACGACTTGGTTTGCTTTTAGCACCAAGCGCGTGGGGAAGCGCCGCCAGTAGGGGGCAAGAATTACCCAGGCGTGCCTATTACCTAAGCAACGGAGTCAAACAGCATTCTCAGAATGACTTTACAAAAGGTAACCAAGAAGTTAATTTGTTTAGTCTGTTAGGTCATCTCATAACGGTAGAATTCATAACAATAAAGTGAGAGGTGTAAAGACAGACCTATTCTGCAACAATCATTAATTCGGAGCAATAGTTTGCTGACGTTACCAGGTGTGGGTGAATAAAAAAGTAGGGCTGATTTTGTTCACACTCTTTACTGATGTGACAATGGCAGTGGATCAGCCGAGAGGCTCCGAATTGTTTGTGCTTTCATACTGAAAAAGTGCTTTGAGCAAACCTAACAAGCAATGAATATGCGTATTTTTTCCTAGGGTCGGCTAGATTATGAAGGGGCTTTTCAAAGTGACATAGACGCCACTGAGTAACTTCCTGGGCCGAAACCACACACCAAGGGGGTTTCAAAAATAGCTTCGGGCCCCTCCTAGCCTGACTTTGAAAGCAGGTGTGGGACGCATGCGCCAGGCCCACAGCTGACCTCCTCGTGGTAGGGTGCGGACCTTCTTCCCGACAGCCCATGGGAGAGTGAGGGAGGGGGAACGGAATTCTCGCGAGAACTTTCAGACGCCGGCGGAAGCAGTAGACACGTGACTCTCCTAAGCGGCCTTCGCCTTACCCCCTCCCCCTTCTCGGAAACCCGGCCCCCTTACCCCTCGCCCACCCCGGAGCCGCAGTAATGGACCGTTTGGGTTCTGGAATTCCCTTGGATCCAACCACTGGTACCGGGTCAGCGGGAGTCAGCGGAGTTCGTGCTTCGCGGCGTAGGCAGGGGTCAGTCAAGATGGGGGGTGGGGGTGGGAATCATCCTTCATCTATGAGGGAGGCGGGGCGGAGGAGGGCGCTGGAGAGCAGAGTGGGGGGAGGGAAGAAGTCACATGGGGCGCGCGGCGGGCGCTGCGTGCGCGCGGCACCTCATCCGTTGCCCCACCCACTACCCTTCTGGTGGGGCGGGGCGGGGGGCTGGGGGAGGGGCGTCAAGATGGCGGCGGGGAGGTAGGCAGAGCAGGACGCCGCTGCTGCCGCCGCCACTGCCGCCTCCGCTCCACTCGCCGCTGGCTCTTCAAGCTCTCGGTTCCCGGGAGAAGCTGTTTCGGCGTTGGATCCCGCGGGGAAAGTAAGTCCTTCGGTTGGCTCCTTTCTGCTTCTACACTCTCCTTCCCGGACAGCCTCCCATTCCCACCCTCCTTAGGGGACCGTCTGGGGCCGGGCTGAGGGGGGCGCAGCCTCCTCACCCCGGCTTGGGGCCTCCCTCGCCCCTTGCCGCCCCCTCAGCTTAGCGCCCCGGGGCCCTAGGGGGCACGGTCCTGACGGCGGCACCGCCGCGCTCGCTTCCTCCGCCCGTCAGCGCCGGGCCCTGCGGTCGCCGCGCGTGGGGCTCTCGGGCCCTGGGGGCCCCGCTGTCCTGGGCCGTAGGCACCCCATTTGGGCGGGGAGGCAGGATCTGTCGACGCCGGTTCCCGCTCTACCCGGGTCGCCCCCTTGGCTCCGCCTGCTCGACAGGGGCTGCGAAGTCCCGGACCCGCAGCAAAGTGAGCTCCGCAATCCTTCAAAAGTCCTACTGGAGGATTGCTCCCGGTCAAGGGGTAGTGCCGAAGGCGGTATAGGGTCGCCCTAAATCTGGACCTGGCACCTGCAGTTTTCTGATTATCTCGTTCACAGGGCGGTGGGGACGGTACGTGGGACACGTGGGGGCCCCCTTCACGCCTCTCTCGGTGATGAGGTCAATTTTGCCTCAAGCTCGCTCGCCTCCCAGACCCTCAGCATCTTTGTGGAGGGGAAGGGAGGTTGGGGATTTGCTTACGTTGAGAAGGTTGGCGTAACGACCATCTAAAGTTCCCCAAACCAGTGTATGCTGGTGGTTTCCCAAAAGTGGTTTGGGGTCGGCTTAACCGCTGAGGAGATTTGGATGTTCCTGAACCCTTGTGATTGTTTCTTTCCTGACCCTGGCGTCCAACTCCTCCCCCTTCCACCCCTGCTTTGTGCTTCTGTTTGGTTAATGTTTGCGGACCACTGACTTGATTCTCGCACAGAGAAGCTCTTTTTATGTGCGTGCTCCGTTTACTGTTGGGGGTCTTTTGTTTTGGGGAGTCGCTGGCTGAGAAACGGGGGGAAAGAACCGGCAAGAAAATGAGAGTCAAGTAAAGCGACGTTTTTATCCATTGAATTGCGCAGCCAATTGTAACCGCACCCGGAAGTTTGTACTGAGCACGTGTTGATGAGAGAAGGTTAAAGACTGGGTCCCCTTTGACCTTTGAAAGTTGATTATTAGCAATTTATGTTGAGTTAAATATTTGATATCCAAAATTAGCAACGAAATAGGGTTTCTACACAGTCGTCCAGGGGGGGGTGTCCAGAAAGCTGTCAAACTCCGAGTTGCTCTTCCGCCTACAGACTTAACAGTTGCAGACACTTAAACCAAATAATAGTGCAGAGGGATTCCAATTTTTCCCAGTACTTTTCAGGACTCAGAACTGATGGTTGTAAGCAGTGGGAAAAGCCATCATTATAGCACAAAAGGTAGTAGGAACAGAATTCCGAGGTGAATGCTGTTATGTGTCAGGCAGTTTTACATGTTTCAAGGGCTTTGCTGAAATTACTATTTAAAAACAGAGTAGTACAGAGATATTTCTTGTGCTTTTTAAAATGATTCACCTTAAAGACTGTAGCTGCAGATACAGTTTGGCATTTCTTAAGTCTCTGAGTTGAGCTTTGATTTGAGACTTGACTCCTGTGAAGGACTGGAACTCTCAGTTGAGGTCTGGTCTTACTTAGTAATCTGACTTTTTTTCATGAAGGTCTGGGTGTCCATGCCTTGCCTGCTTCAAGTTGGTGTAAAGACACTTTCTGAGAGGAATTGCTTTCACATTAGTCAATTAATAGCCAAAATGATGTAATTCTAAAGTTTTGCAATTGTCTTTGTTTTTTAATGCTAATTGGCAGATTCACTTTGATGTGGTTGAACTTCCTAAGTATTAGGGACAACCTTGAGATACTACTGGAATTTTCTGTAGATGGAAAGAATTGTCTTATGAATAGGATATGGTACAAAAATCCATCAAATTAACTTGCTTATTTATTTATTGGGAGGCAGTATATAGCACAGAGCTATGATGTTCAAACCATTTTACTGCATCCTACAATAAGAAATGTTTTACATTGTGACCTAGTGCATATACACACAGAATTGAAAAGCTCATTTCATGAAATAATCTTAACTCTGTTTAAACATGCTCTTCACTAGTTTTTCTCTTCTGTACTGAAATACTGAAAAATACTGGTCATGATACACTAAATTGATTTTGATGACCTACTGTGTTGTGACCAGTAGTTTGAAAAATAGTGATACTAGAGTTAAGAGTACAAAATCACAGAGGAATGTGGTGTCACACCTCCTGGGTTTGTAATTCTGCTTCATGCTAGCTTTGTTAGCTTGTTACACTTCATCCCTTTAAGCCTCACTTTCTCATCTGTGACAAGGGGAAAATGGGTAGCATTTATTTAAGGGTTATCCTGAGCCTTAAAACACAAAAATTCAACCATACTGTGAATCTCAAAAAGACAATCTGAAGTTGATGTGGTTAAGAAAGTTTTCATTCCTCTACCTCTTGTGCTTCTTTTGTAAAGCATTTTTGAAACTGTCTCTAATCTGCACATTCCTTTGTGAATCCATTTTTCCTATAGGCTTTGCAATAAGAGTGGAGAAAGAACTATTTTACTGAGCATTTATTCCCTTGAGAAGTAGGTATTTAAAAAATAAAGATTATATCCTTTTAGGTAAAGAAAATCAATCTTAAATGAACTTCTTAAACCTATATTCTCTCTCCTGTACTCAGTAGACAATAAATACCTGATTTCTGAGTGGATCATTATTCTTCAAATTCTTAAACTGAAGGTCAGTTATCACATTAGGGCTACTTAAAAGCAAAGTTGAAGCTGAGTAAAAAATCAGACATAACACTATTAAATAATGAGAAAAAACTCCTCTTTTTTTTTTATCAGTTCAGGAAACGATAGTTGCTAAGTGATAATATCTTTGCACATTTAAAGATGTCTACCAAGTTTCCACCAGACATGCTAATTGAATAGCTGGACAAACTGGATGTATGACTCTTCTAGGTGAGAAGGGAGCTAGTATTTTATAGCTAAATTTGGAAGTTAATTATTGAATGGATTTCCAACAAATAAAATTTGTATTCTGGAAAATAAAGTGTTGCATCAGTGACATGGAAGAAAACATTTTTGACATGATACTAACGTTTATCAAAGTGATAGTTAATATAGGTAGTAGCTAACATTTATTTGAAGTAGTGGAACATTTACTCAACACAGCAGTCCTATAAGGTAGGTTCTATTTTTATTCCCATTTGAAGATGAGGAAACTGAGTCACAGAAATTATTACTTGCCATATTATACCACTAGTATTGAAGATGTGACCAGTATTTGAACCTAGATATTCTGCTTGACTCCTTGGTTTCTCCTACCTGTGTGGCATGCTGCTGCCCCTGCATACATACATGGGTTTGTATGTGCCCAGAGCTATAAAGATATGCTTTCGGTTTCTAACTAACCTAAGAGGAACCTTGTCCCAGGTTTCAAGTGTTGGTTGGTATTCTCAGTGGGAGCTGTATCCTTTCATTCTTCTGATTGATTGTTGTTTCTCAGGGTTCTCTTCCTGCCAAGGATGGTTCTTAGTTTCTGTTACTGTGTCCTTGTTCCTTTTTTATCACAGATGCTTTCATAGGTGTACTGTGTTGAAATAGGTGGTATTTTCAAATGTATTTATGACAAAACAAAGAACCTTTTTTTGTCCGTTGAGATAGAATTACTCTGGGCCAGTAACATTTGGGTTTGTTGGATGGCTACATGTTAAATGTCACCCGAGGTCTGTGAAATCCTGTGTAGACATAATGTATATAACACAATTCTCTTACAACTAACAGTGTTTACATTTATATTGGCTTACTGGGTTCAAAGTGAAAATGTTCTCTCTCAGGAACAAATCTTACTTATTTGTAAGGTAAGGAAGGAGGAAATGATTGGATAATATAATCTTTTAAGGGCTCTTTCAGCCTGAGCACTGAAATTCTGAGTCTAATAGTTTCAGAATAGGAATATGATTAAATATTAAGGGTTTTGCCTAATGGAGTTAGAGAATGGCATGGCTCTTCCTTCTCTACCCTTTTTCCCTCTTACTGCAAAAAAAGTACAAGTAGAGAATTTGTGCCCAGTTGGCTAAGAGAAAAGATCCCTAGATTTCATTTGTATATATGATGTATATGAAAATTAAAATCTCTTTCACTAATAGCTTGAAAAGACATCTTTTACAGACATTGCAGTACTAGGTCACTAATCAAATTAGAGGTTTCAAACTGTGATTCCTATGAATGAATTTTGAGCAGGTCACTGTTATTTATAACTTGCCATCATTTCTTGCATGAACATCAAGTTTTCCTCCTACATTTCTCCCTTCCATAATATTTTTGTGTTTTTAATGCTTATTGTTCAGAATATACATTTGAAAAGTTCTCAAGAATCCTGTAACACTTCTCAGGGATTTTTTTGTTTCATAAATTTAAGATATTTCTGTACTTAATAATTAGGGTCTGGTATGCATTTGATGGATTAATGAATCCCTTTGGCCTCCAAGCATTCTGTGGTCTATAGTTTAGGAATCACTGGTTTAAAACAATGTACTTTTGTTTCAAATGGAAATAGATGGTTTCAAATACTTATTAAAAAGATGACATTTTGATAGTCTCTGGTTTTCTGTTAATCTAGGTCAAAGTTAGCCATAGCAAGTGGGCCAAGACCCCTATTTCCACAGATTGTTGGTCCTAAGTATTTTATGTATTGAACTGTTTTTAAAGATTGGTTTAGTTCTCTTGGTATATATTTATGCTGTGTACTAGGATAATTTTTAAGGTCAGCTATGTCTATATTAGAAAAGTGGATCAACTTTATTTCAAATCCATGTTGGGACATTTCTCTATTTGTCTTATCTGTTGTCCTGTTCTTTGTACTGTTTACATGTTGCTATTATACTCTCCCCCTTTCAGTTTTAATCTTAGACTAGCGTTTATTCCAAAGTTAAGTGTTGAATGAAACTTCATAGATTACCAGCATTGACTTCTTGATCCACTCACTGGGAAAAATGGATGGGCTTTGGGAGTTTAAACAGTCTAGATTTGGGTGGATGGCCTCAGGCAGGTAATTTAAGCTTTCTGGGCCTCAGTTTCTTCATCTCTAAAATTATAATACCTGTCCTTTTGAGGGTTGTGGGCTCATAATATATACAAAGAACCTAACACTGTCAAGCTGGTTGAAAGATACTGTCAAGCTGGTTGAAAGATACTGTCACTGTTAACTTCCTCCCCTTCCTCCTTGCTGCTCAAGATACTTTCTAAAAGTTTCAGGGAAGTCTCCTTTGGGCTGTCTTTCCTCCCATCCTTTTAACAGTGGGTTCTCGTCCATGTTGCTGTTAGAATTTCTTTCTAAACAGTACACAGTCTTACATGAACATAGACCCTTCTAGTAGAGGATTTCTCTGTTGAACACCTTACTTTCATCTAAAACAGTAGGTCTTGTATGTCGGAAGTCATGGTCATTCTTGGTTAACACCTTTCTTTCTGAAGCATAATAAAACACTGACCCTTAATATTATTGCACAGTCTGAGAATAAATGGACTAGCTGAAATTTAGTATATTGTTTATGTAACATGAAATTAGTTTTCTGAGAAACACAAGTACAGTCAGATTTCCCATAGTTCGTATATATAAATTGGTTATTTCAGATAAATTAATGAGAAAAGTAAAATTGAGAAAACTGTTAAGCTTTTTTTCTCTTCCTACAAAATGGATAAAAATCCATTTTGGTGGTGGAATACTTGGGTCTGGTTCCTAAGAGTACAGTTGGAAAACCCTAACCTAAAATGTATTTACTTACTCCTAAATAGGCATTTCTCCCCCTAAGCTCCATATAACTCATTGTCAGGCCTCCTGGGCTTGACTTTTTTTTCACTTTCCCTTGACTTAACTCTAATCAGTCTATCAACTCATGATTTTTTGGTGTGTGTTTCATATTCTCCCTTCCATTCCGAGCTTTTATTTTAACTTAGTTTTAAGGATTTTCCTTCCTAATACCTTGAAATCCATCCCTTTCTTGCTGTCCCCACACTGCTATTACAGTACATCATCTTCATCTTCTCTTTCTGTAACAGTTTCCTAGGGTGTCTCCCTGCTTCTGGTCTTACTCTACCCATTCTCAGTTTGCTTCCAAACTTCTGTGGGATAACCTAAGTCACAAATTTGATTGTGTCATGCGGTCCTCTATCTGAAAACCCTTTAGTGACCTCCATAACCCACAGGATTAAGTGAATTCTCTAACGTGGTATACAGGGTTGTGGGGTAATACCTTCTTCATCTCTTGCCATCACCTACCTTAGCCTTGTATTTTTGTTCTGAGCTTCCATACCCATGTTGCATTACTCTAACCATCATGCATAAGAGTGTCGGTGTCTTTCATGCCTCCATGAGTTTGAATGCACTGTCCAGAAGATCCTTATCCATCTGATTTCTCTTTGAGACTCAGCTCCACTGTCATCTTTGTAACCTCTCTCTCCAGGCAAAGTTCAGCACTTCCTTCTGTGTTCCCACGCTATTTTGTAGACATATACTTTTCCTGTAATTTCTATACTTCTCTGTTCAGCCCATCTTAATGTGAATTTCTTGGGATCAGAGACTATTTCTCTTTATCTTTTTGCATAATATGTAGCAGGTTCTTCATAAATATTGAATGGATGGATCTGGTAGAAAATGTAGGTTTGTATTTAGAAAACTTATTGTCATTTCAGGTTTTTTTAATGTTAGTATTTAATATTTTGTTCTAAAGATGGTGGAGCCAGGGCAAGATTTACTGCTTGCTGCTTTGAGTGAAAGTGGAATTAGTCCGAATGACCTCTTTGATATTGATGGTGGAGATGCAGGGCTTGCAATTTCAACACCTACTCCTCCAGTTCAGCAGGTGAGTTTTCCAAAGCCTCTGTAAAAAGTTGATTTTTTTCTTCATATTAATTTGTATTAATAGAAATAATAAAGCCTTGATTTTAAATATGCATGTAAATATTTTCTTGTTGGGTATTAGTCTTCATGAAGTGTAAAATGCTTGCAGTGAAAATCAGGACATTGTCTGCTCTGATATATAAGTAAAAGTTTGAGATGAATTGCTTAGAGTTGTTAAATGTCCTTACTTACTGTCTTTGTACTTACAGGAACATTCTTCTGGGGTTTCACTGTACACATTTTCTGAAAAGAAAAATAAGATTCTTGTATTAGCATAGTTTTGTGAAGATGTTATGCTTGCAAAAGTTATTTCTTTATACCTGGTATCGGGGATTTTACATTCCGCTTGAATGTAAAGCTCGACCTTTTTTCGTTTTAATAAAATAAATACACCTCTTGTTCTTGAAACAATTCACTGCTGTCATTCTTTCTGTCTTTCTCTGATGTTGTTTTCTCTCCAGTCAGTGCCACTTAGTGCATTAGAACTAGGTTTGGAGACTGAAGCAGCAGTTCCTGTTAAACAAGAACCAGAGACGGTACCTACTCCAGCACTATTAAATGTTAGGGTAAGAATTATTTAGATTTGGCATTACTACAAAAATAGCTTAGGATTGTAGTTAGAAAATGATCTTTAATATGAAATAGTTTTATCCTCCTAGTTCTAGTTTTGCTACTTTTTCCAAGTACCCTACTCTCACATACTTTGTAAAACACTCTTTCACTCTTCTTATAGTTATGTTGATGAAAAGTTGAGACAATGCAGAACATTTTCTGAGTTTATTTATTGCAAATGATGCAAAATTCACGAATAAAGGTAAACTACCCATTATCCCACTGCACTTTTCACTTGTTGATTTCAACTTTGTTTTTGATATACATAATTTTAAAGTGGTTGTACTTGTGCTTTAAATATAGAGTTCCTTTGACTTTACTTAAATACAGCAATTAACTTAAGCTTAGTAGTATAGAATTGATTAGACAAACTTTTGTTAAAATTTGATAATGTGTGATAAATTATTGTTATAGGAGTCATGGTGAAATAGACTTAAATTTATAAAACTTTCTCAGTTGTACTCTAGTCACTTGTGGTCAGAGACACGCTGTTATCCTTCAAATCTCGACTTACTGTTTCCTTTTTGTGCAGCTCCTACCCCTTGCCGCTATAATAAAATACTATGTAGTTGTGTCTTAGGCTCAAAGGTAGCCCATCAGCAATATTTGTAACTTTCCTAGTTGGATCATTTGTGTGATACAGGAATTTAAAACTCTGCTTGGGGGTTTTATTATCTTAAGTTCTAAACATTAGTATAGTCTGAATGACTGCAAACAGAGCATTGGAAAGGAACCAGAGAATGTTGGAAAATGGGCCTCAGAGAGCCTGGGCCTCCTGGGGTAAAGTGATTTGCCTAAGGTTATCTACCTAGTTGGGCCAGTCTAGAGTTAGAAATTCTTTCTAGTCCTTATATTATATAGGGTTACTATGTGTCACAGCTTGCTTAGGATAATCCCATTTTATGCTTGCTGTCCCCAAAAGTAATATAAAATATCACTCTTTTTTCCTCAGAGGGGTGTGTTTCAACTTGGTAGTTTATAGCTAATCATATTTAATAATGAAAAGTCAATGGCTAGATAAGAATAAAAGTTCATACTTTTAAATGCCTACTGTGTTTGTGGATATAAACTACATGAGAGAATAAATTATTATTCATTGGTGTGATGCATATGGTTTTCTTTTCCAGCAGCAACCTCCATCTACTACAACATTTGTGCTGAATCAAATAAATCAGCTTCCGACTTTGGGATCTACAATTGTAATGACTAAAACACCACCTGTAACAACCAGTAGGCAGACCATCACTTTAACAAAGTTTATCCAGACTACTGCAAACACACGCCCTTCAGTCTCAGCACCAGCAGTACGAAGTGCCATGACCTCTGCACCTTCAAAAGACCAGGTTCAGCTGAAGGATCTACTAAAAAATAATAGTCTGAACGAACTCATGAAACTCAAGCCACCAGCTAATATTGCTCAGCCAGTTGCAACAGCAGCTAGTAAGTCTTCCTGTTTTCAATAGTGTCAACTCTATATTTGATAACATGTGCCAATGTATTTTTAAGGGTTTGCTTGGGTCTTAAAAGAACTGAGGATGAAAGAGGTAATATCTGCATGACTTCATACACTTACAGTATTTATATAAGTCAAGGGAAGCAGAAATTAGAAGCCTTAGCATTTAGCTTTAAAATGAAATGTAAAATTACCAAGTGGCTGTATTTAACACTAAAATCTTAGTTTTACATAGTGAATAACCAGTTAACATTTTTCTCATTCCTTTAAGTCAGTGCTTCTCAAATTTAATGTGCCTGTGAATCACTTGGGGATCTTGGTCCAAAAGAGAGTAAGAGTCAGTAGTTCTGGGGTGGGCCCCAAGATTTTGCATTTCTGACAAGCTTTTGGAGGTACTGTTATTGGTGGTCCTTGGATCCAGCTTGAGGTAACAGGATTTAAACTGATACTTTGGTACTTTACTTCTGACTTTTACAGTTTTATGATTTTGTCTGTCAGTTGGCTTCATTGATTGTGAGTAATCGTGTTTTTAGTAAATTATCTTTTAAAATATATACTTTCATTGTAAAATAATTCACTATATTTTCTTTGAAGAGTGAGCACCCATAGAACTTTTTTTTATAACAGCTTTAGTGAGATGTAATTCATATACTATAACACTTAACCATTTTAAGTGTGCAGTTCAATGGATTTTAGTATATCCAGAGTTGTGCAGTCATCATCCCTAGTTAATCCATAATACTTTAAGGATAGTTTTAGATTTAAAGGGAAGAAGTTCAATAATGGTTTGATCACACCTTTTTGGGAGTTCATTTATGCATAAAGGCTGTAGATTTTACAGTTAGCTCTTATTCTTTGGAGTACCTTGTTGTTCATTCATTTCAACAAATATTTATTGAGTGCCCACTAAGTGCTAAGCACTGTTCCATGATTTGGAGGCTGTGGCTTGGAAGAAAACCTGTTGAAATCTCTGCGTTCATGGAACTCAAATTCTAGTGGAGAGAAAGAGAAAATAAATTATATAGTATGTCAGATAGGGATAAATGCTATGGAAAGCAATGGAAAATGGGGTATTGGGCAGCAAGAGGTTACAATTTTAAGTGGAGTGCTTAGAGGAAGCTTTGTATTTAGTGTAATAAGGTTATTTTTAAGGGTAAAA